GGGACTCGAATTTTCGAAAAAAAACGGCAAATGAAGCAGTCATATTACAGTCGTACTATTTTTTAATATAGTATTTATAATCTGTAGCAGTATTTAACCAAATCGGAATCACGTAAAAACTGTAATATATCAAGTAGGTACTACACGTAGGTTAGTTATATTATAATGTATTATTAAAAGAAACATGTAGGTGCGTCGGTAAATGTTAATTATAATAATTTTTTTGCCCAATAAATATCGTCAAACGAATAATAATAATATATATAATATAATAATGCAAATTAAAAAAAAAAATTAACACTTTCGTTAAAAATGATAAATGTGACGAAAAAAAAAACGCAAAAAAAAGAAATTCGATTTAACACGGCCCCGCCGGCGTTCGAAACCACGACCGTCGAATCACCCGTTTTAACGCCTAACCTACCTAGCCACCTACCGAGATGAAATTAGGAGCCAAATCTATGACTCTTAAGGGCGTTTGAGCGGACCACCATGTCCGCCACCTTCTTACGTTCAAGACGCGAGATTTGCGAAAAAAATCGAACCTCGAGGCGCATGTATATATGCCTGTATATAGCGATACCTACACGGTACCTACTCTCGTTTCCGACACACTACTCCACCCCGGGACTCGAATTTTCAAAAAAAACGGCAAATATAGTCGTACTATTTTTTAATATAGTATTTATAATCTGTAGCAGTATTTAACCAAATCGGAATCACGTAAAAACCGTAATATATCAAGTAGGTACTACACGTAGGTTAGTTATACGTTATTATAATGTGTTAATAAAAGAAACATGTAGGTGCGTCGGTAAAATCAAGTATTAATTAAGGGGATTGGAAGCGGCGATTTTCTGTCTTTATCTAACACACGTGGAACATAGGATTATAGACGTGTTCTATGTTCAACGTACCGATTAATCTAATGAAGCGATAAGAATTCTGAAAACAGATTTGAATTTGTCGTCAAGTCTACTTGAGATCGACTTTCCCACATTTTTGATATTGTCCCACCAAAATCATAAAAATGATATATTATAAAAAGTACTTAAAAAATTTACAAATTTCAACTTTTGGAGAAGTTTAAATCAAAAAATCAAAAATGTGGGAAAGTCGATCTCAAGTAGACTTGACGACAAATTCAAATCTGTTTTCAGCATTCTTATCGCTTCATTAGATTAATCGGTACGTTGGACATAGAACACGTCTATAATCCTATGTTCCACGTGTGTTAGATAAAGACAGAAAATCGCCGCTTCCAATCCCCTTAAATGTTAATCTTAATTATTTTTTTGCCCAATAAATATCGTCAAACGAATAATAATAATATATATAATATAATAATGCAAATTTAAAAAAAACATGTAGGTGCGTCGGTAAATGTTAATTATAATAATTTTTTTGCCCAATAAATATCGTCAAACGAATAATAATAATATATATAATATAATAATGCAAATTAAAAAAAAAAATTAACACTTTCGTTAAAAATGATAAATGTGACGAAAAAAAAAACGCAAAAAAAAGAAATTCGATTTAACACGGCCCCGCCGGCGTTCGAAACCACGACCGTCGAATCACCCGTTTTAACGCCTAACCTACCTAGCCACCTACCGAGATGAAATTAGGAGCCAAATCTATGACTCTTAAGGGCGTTTGAGCGGACCACCATGTCCGCCACCTTCTTACGTTCAAGACGCGAGATTTGCGAAAAAAATCGAACCTCGAGGCGCATGTATATATGCCTGTATATAGCGATACCTACACGGTACCTACTCTCGTTTCCGACACACTACTCCACCCCGGGACTCGAATTTTCAAAAAAAACGGCAAATATAGTCGTACTATTTTTTAATATAGTATTTATAATCTGTAGCAGTATTTAACCAAATCGGAATCACGTAAAAACCGTAATATATCAAGTAGGTACTACACGTAGGTTAGTTATACGTTATTATAATGTGTTAATAAAAGAAACATGTAGGTGCGTCGGTAAAATCAAGTATTAATTAAGGGGATTGGAAGCGGCGATTTTCTGTCTTTATCTAACACACGTGGAACATAGGATTATAGACGTGTTCTATGTTCAACGTACCGATTAATCTAATGAAGCGATAAGAATTCTGAAAACAGATTTGAATTTGTCGTCAAGTCTACTTGAGATCGACTTTCCCACATTTTTGATATTGTCCCACCAAAATCATAAAAATGATATATTATAAAAAGTACTTAAAAAATTTACAAATTTCAACTTTTGGAGAAGTTTAAATCAAAAAATCAAAAATGTGGGAAAGTCGATCTCAAGTAGACTTGACGACAAATTCAAATCTGTTTTCAGAATTCTTATCGCTTCATTAGATTAATCGGTACGTTGGACATAGAACACGTCTATAATCCTATGTTCCACGTGTGTTAGATAAAGACAGAAAATCGCCGCTTCCAATCCCCTTAAATGTTAATCTTAATTATTTTTTTGCCCAATAAATATCGTCAAACGAATAATAATAATATATATAATATAATAATGCAAATTTAAAAAAAACATGTAGGTGCGTCGGTAAATGTTAATTATAATAATTTTTTTGCCCAATAAATATCGTCAAACGAATAATAATAATATATATAATATAATAATGCAAATTAAAAAAAAAAAATTAACACTTTCGTTAAAAATGATAAATGTGACGAAAAAAAAAAAACGCTAAAATAAGAATTCGATTTAGTACGACCGCCGCAAATAACCGAAAATCTCGGGCGGCGGTTTCGAACCCACGACCCTCGAGTCACTTATCCTAACGCCTAACCAACCTAGCCACCTACTCAGATGAAATTCCGAGGCAAATGTATGACTCTTAAGCCGCATCGCCGTGCTCGCGGCGATAAAATAAAATTCTTATCACTTTCCTTATCAATAAAAACAATATTTAAGAAAATCCCAATAAATCCTATCAAAAAGTCAAAACCCCGAGTTTCCCCTTGGCGAGGTGGGTGTTAGTACTCTCCCGGACCAAAATCCATCAAAAAAGCAAAATCCAAAAAGGGGGGGAGGAGGTGCCCCCGTTCCCTAAAGCGGAAAACGGTAGTATTCATAAAAATAATGGGTTCCCCCTTGGTCCGAGGTCTTTAACTTGAATTCCGGCCGAGTTATACTCAACTCAAAATGTGGGGGGGGTGGGGGCTTTGGTTCCCTAATGTTGAAAATTCATCTGGGGCCTAAAAAATTGAGATGCCCATTGGTACGGGGTCTCTAAGTCGAATACCGGCGAAGTTATACTTGGTCAAAAATAATTACTCGTTTAATGGGTCCCCCCACTCCGCCCGACGGTCGCGGGGTAATCGATTTATAAGACGTTATTATCACGTCAAAAAATTGAAAAACACGGGTTTTTTTTTAATAATAATAATAATGTTCGAAAATATTAGGATCGATAAGGAAAAGGGAGATAAGCGAGCGGAATTTATAGCGAACGCGCGGGAAGTATTGTGATTGGTCGTCATGGAAGAAACGCGGAGTGCCGTCAGCGCTCCCCGCGGATCTTATACGCGTTATTAGCGTTTTATTATATAAGATTATTAATCATTCTTATTAACACTATTTGTTTAATTAAATCATGTATTAATTTATTTTACTAACCACAATTAAAATTGTAATATGAAAAACAATATAATAATAATGATGACATTAAAAAATTGTAAAATGTTCACATTATTGTAATCAAATGTAATACTGTAATCAAATTGTTAACTGTATACAAATTTAAATGTCAATGTAAACAATGTAATTCAGCCATTGTAAACTATTAATTAACGATGTTAAAGATTCTTAACCCTTAAAGGTTAACAATCTTTTTTTTGGTAGGGAGGTGTAATGGGATTACGCAATATCATGTATTTGCTCATAATAACAACCAGAATTGGGATTACGCAATATCATATATTTGCTCAAAATAACAACCAGGAATGCGACCACACCCAAAAGTGTTTTCGACTAAAGAATACCACTTTCATAGTCGTGACTCGTGAGGTCCATATCAAGGACGACTGTACACGCGCCGCTCACTTCAAAGGACGCCGCCACCATATATATAGGGGACAGCGAGACAGCCAAAGTAGATGTACCAGAGCCGCCAAGACCGAGCGAGCCGTTTAGCCACCAGCCATTACACACGACTTACATGGAGATTATCGACTACTACAACGAGTCAACTCACGACGCTGCAATTCACCACAACTACATTATTTATTATTGGTTTTAATAAAGTACATTTGATTTATATTTAAATTGACTACATTTTATTGTAAAAGTGCAACAAGCTTTTGGATCCCTGAAGGGCCGCATGTAACAGGTGAGTTAAGTCGCAAAGATCGCGGACAATGTGCTACAGCAAATCAGGTAGGCAATCCACCTGCGGTTGAATGCAGACCCGACGTCAAGCGGCTACGGCCTATCACACAACTTACGAAATAATTTACGAAAAATTCAAACTATATACAATATACATACAAACAAATATGATATGTATTTATTGTGTGATATAATATAACAATGAACATTCTGAGAAATGTGCTATTATAATTCCTAAAAAAAATTTACATATAGGTACCTAGATAGTTAGATATACACTATTATATTAACCAATACAATAAATATAAACATGTACCTATAGTGTATATTAGGGTGGATCGAAAAAATGAAACTTAAATATAAAGTTTCTAATAGTTAGGGAAATATGTGTTTTGGTCCCTATATGCTATATAAAAATTTTTAAAAATCTAGGATTAGATCAAGAAGTGCCGCAATTTTAAATATAGTACAATTATTATGCTTGGTTTATTGGGTTATTCTATTTATGAGTTGTCCTATCTTATCTTAATGTGACATTTTTCACCATTAGTTCAATTGACAAACTCGATTTCACATTCAGTATCGCTGTATATTCGTACGGAGTCGTATAAAGTTTATTGTGTTTGAGTTTGTTCTTTAAATATTCGTGAAAATGGCTTGTGTTTTGACCAGAAATAAATTAAAATGTTTAATTTTTGGAGATGCTAAAGAACTTAGTAACAATGTACTTCCAACTTTTGAAGATGTCATGCAATATTATTTGTTTGTGAAACATAAACTAAAACCCGAAACTACCTCTAAAGAACCTAGTGTAAGCTCTATAGCAGAAATTATAGCAGTTGATTTAAAAAAGGTATGGCTAAAAGCATCAATTCCAGTAGTATCTCATACACGTGTGTTGCAAATGATAAAAACGTACCATGATAAATATCGGAATATACTGAAGTCGGCTAAGAGTAGAATAAATATTGAAACTTTTAAAAAAAAATTAGAAAACTTCCAAAGTGAAGCAAAAAACAGTCTTTTTGATATTGCGGCATGTAAATGTGTTGTGTTAAGTTTATGTAATTGTGAAAAATCTCGAAAAGTTCCAACTATTGAGCAGGTATTTATTATAGATCAAAGAACAACAAGAAAAATGGTTATGACTTTAATTGACATTTCAACTACTAAAAAGCTCCAAAAAAAAATAATAAGAAAAGAGACCGATGCAAAGCGAATTGAAAAAAAAAATTGTCAGTAGTTAACGAGATTAATTTCAATTCCGATGAAGTCAGTACCGAAATTGATGATTCCGACGAAGATTTTATTGCTGTTTTGAATACGCCGACGTCATCTAGTATAAAAAACTCACAGATGAGACTTAAGTTACCAGCTTTAGCAATGGCCTGTGATAGAACTGGAATATCGGACAGATCTGCTGCTACGATTGCAAGTGCAATACTTCAGGATGTTGGTATTATTTCAGTTGATACTAAAAAAAATGTGATAGATAGAATGAAAGTTCGCAGAGAAAGGGAAAAAAAACGTATAGATCTACAAAAAGTAAAAAATAAAAAATTATTGGGACTATATTTTGATGGGCGAAAAGATAAGACTATGGTAAACCATAAGGAAGGAACTAAATATTACAGACAAATAATAACTGAAGAACATATATCACTTATTCAAGAACCAGAATCTAAATACATAGGTCACGCAACACCAACTAACGGATCTGCTTTACAAATTAAAAATAGTATTATTAATTTTTTGGAAACAAATAATATAGTTACTTCAAACATTGTTGCGATTGGCTGTGATGGTACAGTTGTAAATACAGGCTTTAGAACAGGAGTTATTCGGCAAATAGAAGAACATTTAAAAAAACCACTCCAGTGGTTTATTTGTCAACTTCATGCTAACGAGCTTCCATTACGTCATTTGTTTCAACACCTAGATGGGAAAACATCTGGGCCTAATGGATTTTCCGGTTCAATAGGAAAACAGTTAGAAATATGCCACAAACTACCAGTTGTTGAATTTGTTCGTATTAAAAGTAACTTGCCTTATTTAAAAAATGAAGTTGATTTAAGTACTGATCAAAAATATTTGTTTGAGATGTGTCTAAGTATTTCTAATGGTAATTGTAGCATTGATTTGTCCAGAAGGAACCCAGGGAAGCAAGCACACTCTAGATGGCTTACCACTGCTAATCGCATTTTACGTTTATATATTAGTATGAAATCTCCAAAAGAAAATTTAAAAATTTTAGCTGAGTTTATAGTAAAAGTATATGGTCTCATGTGGTTCTATATAAAAATGAATCCATTTTGTACATCTGGATCAAAACACCTTTGGAAGACCATATAATTTTCACGTTATCTACCTGATAACTTAAAGCAAATTATTGACCCTGTAATTGAACGAAATGCGTATTTTGGATCGCTCGAAAATATACTTATATGTATGTTATTTGATGATCGCGAATACATCAGAAAAATAGCTGTATCAAAAATCATAGAAGCGCGAAAAAATGAAAAGGAAGGCACGATTCGACGTTTTAAAATCCCACCATTGAATTTTAATGCTAATGACTACATCGAACTTATTAACTGGGAAAACAATCAAGTTACTGAGCCTCCAATTACATCAAAAATTGATCAAGAAATATTGAAACAGGTAAAATATAATGTTTTTTATTTATTCTTATAACATATTAACTTCGTTTTTTGTAATAGATTATTGAAGGTCAATATAAGGAGAACCATTTTAACTTTTTTAATTTTCCTTGTCATACTCAAGCTGTCGAAAGAAGTGTGAAACTTGTGACAGAAGCATCTATAGCTGTATGTGGACAAACTAGAAGGGACGGATTTATAAGATCAAGGATTGAATCTCGTAGAATTATGCCTCAGTTTCATTCAAAAAAAGATTTTAAATTAGTTTAAGTTTAGATAGAGATTTGTATACTTGTATACAATATGATTAAATAATTAAAATATGTGTATTAAACTCATAAAATAAATCAATTATACTTTAATACAATTAAAACTAATGTAGAAATAATAATTAAAAAGAAGTAAGTCGCGGCACCTCTAAAATTGGTCGAATCATTTTCATGTTTTGTATACACTTAATTGAGTATAAAACACAACTTTTAAGTACTATTAGATTTCGCAAAAAAAAAAATTTTTTTTTTTATATTAATTCGATCCACCCTAGTGTATATACATATATTAATTTTAAAAAAAATGCAAAAACCTGCATGTTAAAGTGTCTATCAAGTCAATTATCACCGTTTAAGACGAAACTAAAATGAGCAATCCATCTATCACCTACATGTTGTAGGTATATCACATTGAGTGGTAGTGCCTTCGCATGTCCGGTGCCTTTTCTTATGTAAAAAGTGTAAAGTCGAAAACCGTGTTGGAGTGTCTAGCAAGTCAGTCATCTCAAGTCAAAATCGAATTAACTTTCAAGTTAGCCACCTAGGTAGGCAATCCGAAATAAAATACAAACTATATTTATATAACAATCATGGAAATTTTAAAAAATATGCAATTATAATAATTCCTAATAAAACAAATATAACATGTGCCTATTTATTGTGTGATATAATATGACAATGACTTTAAATAATAATAATGTACGATAAAAATGTTCCTGTATTATTATTTAATTTATATGAAAAATATAGAAAAAAAAAAAATGCAAAAAAAGTCGACTCTTTCGGGCGGCCATGTAAACCATATGGCAATGACGACTTCGACGCCCGGCGAGCGAACGACGGATTCGAACTCAGGACCTACGTGTTTTCTACCTAACGCCTAACCTACTCGGACACATTTTGAGATGTGAAATACTGTCAAAACATCAACTCTTAAGCCGTGCGTCTACGGAGCGACGTAAACCGATATATTCGATGATTATCGATGTAATCGCATATAATTCGCTTGTAATACGCGCATCTCCCATATATATATTTAACGGGGCGTGTGAAAAGCGTTTTCCGTTAATTATTAAATCATAGGGAAAAATTAAATTATACACGTATATACATGTAAATATACGCATACGGTCGGTCGGTCGCCGGCGTAATTTATAAACGCGATTGCGAGGCGAACGAACCGATTTCGGGGGAAAAGCCCATATAAACGGCTTTAAAAAAACGTCGACTACACGATTCGGGCACAAACGGCGTGCGAATAGACAAAACGGTGGGAGAAAAGGAAAAAATCGGCAAAAAGTACGGTCGGGAGTGTATTTTTCGATCGATATTGCGACCGCTTCGGACGGCGCATGAATATAAACCGCACACCGGCGGCTTCGAATTAAGTATAAAAAAGGACCAAAAGGGTCGAAATCGTGTAAAAACAGCTAATTTTCCGAAAATTTCAAAAATCGGCGAATGATAGGAAAAGAGGTGATAACGAAAAACGTTTTAAAACCGACCGCCGCCGCTGCGAAGGTACGCGATTGGTCGCGCTATAAGGAATCAGCCGGCGGGCTGGGGAAACGGAGCGGTGCTTCATTTTTTACTCCACGGTTTCACTATAACTGCGTTTTCCGTTCCACGGGTTGCTTGTAGACAGCTGATTTCCTTGTCATTTTATATATTAGGATATATGTCATTTTATATATTAGGATTAGGAAGGATAGCTGATAAAGCCTAGCTGCTGCAGGCCGCGGCTGGCTATAGTCGTTCACTGACACTCGGTATTCTGGTGGGAGTGATGATGGAACACTTTTTTTTTCTTATAGTATTGTTTATCTATCTTGTTATTATTGATTATGACCGTTATGGGTATTGTTAAATTGAGATAAAATTTCGTTTTAACTTCTGGTTTTTACAGTTGGGTTGTTAAATTGCCCAGTAGCAGTAAATTTAACGAATATTTCAGCATTAATAAGTCGTAAACGGCTTACTCAAATTAAATTCTGTAAACGTTAAAATTTTTTTTTTCAGTATGTTTATAGATTTTCGTTATCGAAAATAGGTATTGCCATTTGAAAATCGAAAGTTGATAGTGTTTTATCAAATAAGGGAGGAAGTTAAAATTTTCAAAATTGTAACACAGTGTAAAATAGTAAAACCTAGAAAGTTTAAAAAAAAAAATTATTTTAAAATTACTAATACTTCCCGACATATTAACTGGTTCACGATAAAAAAAATCACCCTGTATATATCACCGAGTGTAGCTGAATCGGTTTAGTCTACCCGACACAAATACAATACCGCCACCGCGTATTGTCATAAGAAGCCATCACTTAAAGGATAAAATAGACATCCGTTCGCACGCTCGCCGAACATTATAAAATAATCAATAAATAACCATTATACCTATAGTATACTAATATCGAATAGAAGATATTTCCTACCATTAGGTACCAATTAATGAAAAATACATTAACCCTAATAGCCTAATTATTGTCTTGCTCATCGCCAGGATGTCGCGGATTCTTAATAGCCACCCCTCATACCCTAATAATACAAGTATCTGCCATATCGAAGAAAGGGCAATTCACCCGGCTATTATACTAATGTCTTGTACATAAAAATATGCTGAAACAACTGGCACTTGTCTTTAGTCCTTCTACAGTCTCAATCCGTTGTACACGTATATTTTTCTTGCTCTGTAAGTTTTTTTATTTCGCTAATTTAAAACAGTTTATCTAAAAGTGTTTAAAAATAATTTTAAACATGGCTGATTCTTTCAACAACAACGATGCCTTACACAAAAATAATAATTATACGTACGTTCCTCCGACACCGCCTGCAGAACTGATTGATTCTACGTCATACACATTGGACTTTGTCGCCCGTAAGTTTATACAGGGTGATCCATTTAAGTGGGTACACTAATTATCTCGAAACGTATTAACTTTTTTTGAATTTTTTTTTTTTTAAATTTCTAGGTTTATGTTTTTCTAAAACCGTATAATATTTTAATTTTTTTCACCCTCATATTTATTAGTGAAATCACTAACAACTTTTGATTTTCAAATGGTAACATATAATAAAAATATCATGAATTAATTATACCATTTTTATTGTGAATTTACGCGTTAACATTTTTATTTTTCGATGATTCGTTTGCGAGATACAGCTCCTCAAAATATTGGTGGTTTTCAAAATATTTTCAATAATTGTAAAGACCAGGAGCTAATCATAAATTTGATATCGTTGAACCCAAGGTGACAAAATAAATAACAATTAATTATAGATTACCATTGTACTTTGAACCCTAATCATTTGTTAACTTATCGACTAATTGGACATACCGAATTACCAATGAATGATAAATAAAAACTGGAAATATACCATGACAAATTTATTTTAATCACAATTTCACAGATAATTATTTAAAAATTAAAATGGTATCACCACATAATTATATCTTATTACCACTAATGACTAAGGTATACCCATAGATAATATAAGAATGGATAGGACATAAGAATTTATCACATGAAAATTTAGTGATACTATTTTTAAGTTTATATAAGGCAAATATTGATATGATAATTGATAAATAATAATAAATAAAATTTATATAATTTAATTTTGTTAAAATATTATTTTCCAATTTCCATTTTCCAGGCACAGGTGGCACAACAATCAAAATACAAACTGACAAATATCTAAATATAACTGACTATCATGTTATTATTATTATTATTTAATAAAATAGTTTTGCACATAACCTTAAAAAGCCTCATATAGTCTTTCTCTCTTTACGTTCTCTCTTCCCCAAAAAAGCACACGGCCTCATATGAAACTGGTATAGGCATGTCCTATCCATTCTTATATTATCTATGGGTATACCTTGATAAGTCCGTGACTGGTAATATGATTATAATATTATGCAGAAAGTAAATAATAAATACCCATATTTAGGTGATAATGCACAATTTTATTGTCACGATTTAAGATAGTCCTATCAATTATCTTAAATAATATTGTTCAATGCACAGACTTCTATACTAAACTAGATAAGGAACTCTTATACAATTTACATTGTCACAAGTGAAGCTCAGCTGTGAACGGCCGCCATTTTGTCGGTTGGCAAAACATTTCATTTATTATACAAAATGTATTAGGAATAATATTTTTTTTAACGGTCAAATAAAATAGTAAATGTAAAATGACTTATATAAAATATATTTTTTTTTTTGTAACCTAAATGTTTAGAAATAATAAAATACGTTATAAAATAAATCATAATATTATCTTATTTGTCATATGAAATACTATACAATTGCCAACCGACCTTGAAGCATCAATTCATGACCGGAGTTCGCTATCTAGTAATATATAGAAATCTGTGGTTCAATGTTCTCTGATATTGTGAATGATATGAATGTTGTAT